GCAGAAGGTAATTAACAAGCCTTGCTGAGGCCGTTTTGGGAGTTTCGGGACCCTCCAAGCCGCAATTGGAAAGCGCTGTGTGAGTTCATTGGGAATTGGCGCATTTGGATCAAATCCTGGTGCAGGGACCTTTTGGGACCTTCCAAAAGCCTTCGTAAAGCCATTCACAAGGCTTGTCCAAGTGGCTCAAAGCCTTTGCAAGGATATTTTGAAGGCTTGCAGAAGGCTTTAACAAGCCTCGCTGAAGCCGTTTTGGGAGTTTCGGGACCCTCCAAGCCGCAATTGGAAAGCGCTGTATGAATTAATTGGGAATTGGCACATTTGGATCAAATCCTAATGCAGGGACCTTTTGGGACTTTCCAAAAGCCTTCAGAAAGCCATTTACAAGGCTTGTCCAAGTGGCTCAAACCCTTTGCAAGGATATTTTGAAGTCTTGCAGAAGGCTTTAACAAGCCTCGCTAAAGCCGTTTTGGGAGTTTCGGGACCCTCCAAGCCGCAATTGGAAATCGCTGTATGAGTTCATTGGGAATTGGCACATTTGGATCAAATCCTAATGCAGGGACCTTTTGGGACTTTCCAAAAGCCTTGACAAGGCTTGTCCAAGTGGCTCAGAGCCTTTGCAAGGATAATGTGAAGGCTTCCAGAAGGCTTTAACAAGCGTCTGGACCTTCCAAGCCGCAATTGGTAAGGTTTGTATGAGTTCATTGGGAATGGGCACATTTGGATCAAATCCTGGAGTAGGGGACCTTTTGGGACCTTGCAAAAGCCTTCGCAAAGCCATTTACAAGGCTTGTCCAAGCGTCTCAAAGCCTGCGCAAGGATATTTTGAAGGCTTGCAGAAGGCTTTAACAAGCCTTGCTGAAGCGGTTTTGGGTGAGTTTCGGGACCCTCCAAGCCGCAATTATAAGCGCTGTGTGAGTTCATTGGGAATTGGCGCATTTGGATCAACTCCTGGTGCAGGGGCCTTTTGCTTTGGAGACCCGAAGCTTGGAGCTAGCTTTTTTAAAGGTTCTCAGGCCGAGGCCCGCATTAATCGAGGGCCACGAATTAATCGGGTGGGCCAGGGGCCGAAAAGGGATACCCTTAGAAACCTTGGGAAATGGTTTTTCTAGATAAATTTTCAATTAAAAACCATCTGTTCCTGAAGGCTTGGGATTTTGGAATTTTGTGGCTGCTGCTTGCTTGCTTGGGAGACCCGAAGCTTGGAGCTGCCTTTTTTAAAGGTTCTCAGGCCGAGGCCCGCATTAATCGAGGGCCACGAATTAATCGGGTGGGCTAGGGGCCGAAAAGGGATACCCTTAGAAACCTTGAGAAAATGGTTTTTCTAGATAGATTTTCAATTCAAAACCATCTGTTCCTGAAAGCTTGGGATTTTGGAATTTTGTGACTGCTGCTTGCTTGCTTTGGAGACCCGAAGCTTGGAGCTGCCTTTTTTCAAGGTTCCCAGGCCGAGGCCCGCATTAATCGAGGCCGAAAAGGGATATCCTTAGAAACATTGAGAAAATGGTTTTTTAGATGGATTTTCAGTTCAAAATTATCTGTTCCTGAAGGCTTGGAATTTTGTAATTTTGGGGCTGCTGCTTGCTTTGGAGGCTCGAAGCTTGGAGCTGGCTTGTTTAAAGGTTCCCGGGCCGAGGCCCGCATTAATCGAGGCCGAAAAGGGATATCCTTAGAAACATTAAGAAAATGGTTTTGTAGATGGATTTTCAATTCAAAATTATCTGTTCCTGAAGGCCTGGAATTTTGTAATTTTGGGGCTGCTGCTTGCTTTGGAGACCCGAAGCTTGGAGCTAGCTTTTTTAAAGGTTCTCAGGCCGAGGCCCGCATTAATCGAGGGCCACGAATTAATCGGGTAGGCTAGGGGCCGAAAAGGGATACCCTTAGA